AAAAAATGAACGTGAGGAATATTAGTAGACACTATTTTGTTGGTTAACTTGACGCGTTCAGTCAAGATATATAAAACAAAAAAATGGAAATCCGAATTGGTGACACCGCACCAGATTAGCAGTTGTGTGGTAAGTCCTGGAAAGGATTGGAAATCATTTATTGCATGTAATCTTTTGTATGTAGATTGTACTTGTTTTAAAGTAGAGTATATCTGTTATGTTGTATTCCATGAAGGGAACATATTGGTTTCTATCGGATTAATCGACGTGTCCAGTACACAAAGCCTCGGGTATGGATGTGCTATTTTGTATGGTATTCAAGCGGTTGTGGGTAATTTTGTCCAATTACTAGTTTACCTTATAAAACACATTTAAACACGTTTTATTGTATCTTACAAGTACAAAAATGCAACTGTCGCATGATTTAGATTGCTGTAAATTATGTATGCGACACAGATCATAGTACTCTCGTGTACATCGGGGATCTAAAACAATCGCCACAACTTACAAAGCGGTCCGTTCTGCTTTTGATCTTTTAATTGAATCTTGAAGATATCGGAATGTAGGTCCCGTTCGTTAGACCACGGCATTAGATTGCCATATATAAGACTGTGATTAGACTTTGTCCATTCAATATGACGCGGATGACGAATTACATTTTGGATTAAAATGCCTCCTTCAACGAGTTTAGAAGCAAACACGTTTATATAAGAGAATTTAATATTGTGAAAACTTCTGTCTACAAAACAAAATTAATCACTTTCTTCGTCTCTCATTTATATTGCAGACAACAGGAAATGTCATATCGAGTTAATGTCGGGAGGGGTTACTGTATTGTTAAACATTGTCGAAGGATTCTAAGCAATAATTTTACTATGGTTCCATTGTACATAAACGATAAACATTGAAGAAACCTAAATTGTATTCAAAAACAGTCCAGGGTGATACCAACGAGATTCTTCAATTTACATTAAGAGTCACCAGAGACGTAAATTATGTAATATATACGTCTCTAGAGCCACATAGACGAGCTTCGTACCTTTGGCGTGAGGACTCCAACACAGAGGACGTCACTTCCAAAAGCTCCTTACCGCTCTGGTATAAAATACGGAAATGTGTAAGTAAAGAATCGTCTACAAAAATATTTCAACGTTTGTGTTTGCTATATTTTAAATAGCAACATAATGTATGGCATATTTTTAAATATAATCAACTTACCTACCAAAATGACAATAGTCTGTCTTTCTTATGTTGGGTCGACGAATGAACAATATATTAACGACAAACAGTTATACGTTTAATCTTATGCAACGTTCGCATGCTGTGTTACATTTTATTTATAATCGAGAAATAAGAATATATTTGAATTATGAGATTAAAAATAAAGTCTTTTCTTTTATTCTTTTATTAACATCTTGGTTCAATAATGAAAGTCATCTCGAGGTACTCTCTTAGCCTACTAAGGTGTGACATTTTTGAACAGGTAAATAACTCTAAATATGTGTGAGCTTTATGTGAAGTCGCCACTTACTAGAGGCCAACGTAGCGCATTCGCTAAATTTAGATGTGAGGTAGCTCCACTGCGCCCGAAACCGGAAGATATGAAAACCTACCCGTGGTGGACAGAGCATGTAGATTTTGTGTAGACCAGGTAGAGGATGCGGAGCACACACCTACTAGATGTCTGGTTTTTGATGATATACGTGACATTTTATATGATAGAGCTATAGAAATTGATAGTGATTTTAATGAATTTTAGTTATGAGGAGAGGCTACACTTTGTTTTATCAAATGAGAACTATGCTAAATATAGTGCCAAAGCTCTAGCAGCTATTCTTAAACGTCGTAATAATTTTATATATCATTGATTATTGTACATTGAAGTTTGAAATTTCAATATAATGTGATGGCATGTATTAGGTTCTCTCTCTTATAGCCTTTTATCTTCTTTTCAGTGAAATGTTTTTACATGCATTTAAATCATTTTCAGTTTCTCGTAAATCTTTTAGATATGAGTGGCTTGCGTCATATGTTTTATGTATATTTTATTGTATCATTGTATACATGTATGCGGAGGGTGAGACTCTAATAAACTATCGGTATCTGTGTCTGTATCTAAACATACCTGTGTCTAATGCTGACACCAGGAGGCCCAAGACACACCTTTATACCTTCAAAGGGATGTCAGCAGGTTGGTTAGGGGGTACCTGAGTTCAGTTCAGTTCAGTTTCTTTATTACCGAGAGCCATTCGACTCATTGGTTAAATGTCAAACAATTACATCATGGTGGTGTTACAGTTGTGGGACCGCACAACGCACCAAAAATAGCGTGCGCACACCGTGCATACATCGTTCACACACCGTCCGCACATCGTCCACACATGGTGCGCACAACTGTGCGATTTAGCAATCGTTCGC